TCTTTGTTACCTCTCATCCTTCAGTTATCTCAGACAATATTTTTAATTGTATAGGTCCATCTGAACAGCTTATGTCCTAAATCTCCTGCCACTATTCATATAGTGAAAAACTTAGACAAAAGTTAAACATACACAATCCATAGATGGTTGTTAAACAGCCTTCTTTTTAAGAATAAGGCACCTTAGAACTTTGCTTAAATTCAAGTGTTCAGATGCTTTTATTCTACTTGAATATTAGTGTAATATTGTGACACAATGAAAATACATTTTTGGTTTCTACTCCCCTGTTTCTGCTTCTAGTGTCCCTGGGATTCCTTGAGTAACAGGAGAATCTATTATTCTAATGATGTGACTCTTAGTGGGCTCCTGGATAAATTCCACATTCTATTGCCTAAAAACAGGAGAGGAGCTAGTGATTGAATTAATAATCAATCATACTTATATCATAAAACATCCATAAAAATCCCTGAACTTTGGAAAGCTTCCAGGCTAATGAACTAATGGAGGGTTGCATACCCAAAAAGGGTATCTCTACCTTGCCCTATGCATTTTCCATTTGGCTATTGAGTTGTTTCCTTTTAAAATAAATAAATGGGTAATAATAAGTGAACATGCTTTCATGAGTTCTGTGAGCAATTATAGCTAATGATCAAACCAGAGGATTAGGTCATGGGGACCTCTTATTTACAGCCCATAATTCAGAAGTACAGGTGACAACCTGGGGCTTTTGATTTGTGCCTGACATCAGAGACATTCTTCTGAGACTGAGTCTTAACCTGTGAGGTTTATGCTAATTCTAGTTATTGCCAAAATTGAGTTAAATACTGCACTATATGAAGAAATTGCTGAGTCTATAAAAACCCAATCAGTATCCACTAAGAACTGCTTAGTGTTTGGAGAAAAACTCAATCACATCTTGGTAGCTGCATTTTTAAAGATACATGAAATGAGAGAATAGTTAAAAAGAAAAAAAAAACTGTTTTCCCCATCTTTTACCATTAATCTGTTTTCAACTAATACAATTAAGACAATGAATGAAGATGAAGTTGACAGGAATAACCCATGCCTAGATCTCACCAGCAGAGGTCAGGAGAGCACAAGAAGTACAAGAAGGAATGGGTCTGTTTTTACAGAGCACTTTGAAAATGGCAAGCCCATTAGTCATGTATTTTGAGAAAGATTTCAAACCATGTAAACTTAAGGTATCATTTTTTAAGAAATAATGGGCTCCAATATTGTATTCATCAGGCAAAATACTGCACTATATGAAGAAATTGCTGAATCTATAAAAATTCATAGTTTTATAAAAACTCTCCTTATTAAAAACATTAATAAGCTCAAAGAAATAATATAATCCATTATTAATATTGTTCTCTGCAGATTAAATATAATAAGTGTATTTGTTTATTTGTTTAATTGCCTGTTTGGGGGGACACAAAACACTTTGAAAATACCAGCATTAATCCTCTTATGAGGAAGGATTATTATCCCAATTCTAAATGGAGAGCTACCTCATGTAAAATAATACATCTGCAAATCTAGAAGTGAAGCCATGATCACTTGATCACACACCAGTATGTCAGTATTCCCAAATGGCAGGAAGTATATATATGCTTCAAGGGTATGCTTTGTAAAAACTAGAGCCATCAGCAAGGCTATTTTCTTCACTGACTGTATTCAATTAAAAAGTAAACGGAAATTTTTTATTAGTTTCCTAGAAGTGGAGAGCATGGCAGCTAGGTCTAGGCACTGGCTGTGCAATACATGAATTTAAAACAGAAAAACTGGAGGAAAATCTGACAATCTAAAAAGTTTCTAGCCTTAGACTGCTTTGCATGAGTCTAAGTATTCATTCCACTTTAAAGAAGCCAAAACCTATACAAGTAGGAGGTCATGCAGTTTAAGTGTGGTTGATATATGAAAGGCCTTCCAGAACCTCAATTAATAGCCTCAAAGCCCTGCCCCAATAAAAATTTGACAAATAAGGATAAAATTATATCTTATTTTAAAATAAATTATTAAGGTATGCATAATCACTTTGTACTGATGAGTGACTCATTATATTAAATTCATTAGAAACAACCAATTAATTATAAGCCTAATAGCACTGGATAGGGGGTCATCTGTTGTAAGGTCTTTAAGAAAAATTGAAATTTTTTAAAAATACAAATTTAACAGCTTCTTTCAAGCATGCATCCTCTACTGGCTCTGTCTTATATTTTTTTCTTCACTGTCCCATTTCTTTAATCATCTAAATCACTGATTTGAAGACTCTGAGATGTTCTGGACCAGGAAATTATTTCTTAAAAGGTGGGAGAGGAAGAGATCAATAAAGGGTTACTGGATTTTTATTTTGTCAAAAGTGGATATTTTTTGTTTAAAAAAAATACCATCCAATATTTCTCTCCTTAATTTCTCAAATAAAGCACATTTTTAAAACACTTGAAAGGATCATCTCTGCCAGTCTTCAAATCAGTAAGTACTTTTAGGGTTATAAAGAAGTCATTACATCCATTTACTCAGTCCACACTTATTGAGCAGATGTGATATGCTAAGCACTGTTCTAAGTTCTAGGGATATAGCAATGATCAAAGCAGATTTTTTAAAAAGGGAGGAGGAGGCAGAAGGATGAGGAAGAAGTAGAAGAAGAAGAGAAAGAGAAGGAAGAAGAGGGAAGAGGAGGAAGAAGAGGAAGGAAAGAAGGCAGAAGAAGCCTCATATATATTACATCCTACAGGGAAACACAGACAAAATAAAACAACAAGCAAATTGTATAATTTGCAAAATAGTATTAAGTGCTAAAGAGAAAAACAAAGGAGGATAATTAACACTAGAGGAGAGACAGTTTTCAATTTCAGATGATAGCCAGGGCAGTCTTATTTTGATGTTGACATTTAGTAAACACTTGAAGGAAATGAGTCTTGCAGCTATTGGTGAGGGGAAAACATTCCAAGAGGAAGCAGCCAGTGGAAAAGGCCTGAAAGAGGGAATGTGGCCACCATGTTCAAGAGATACTAAGAAGCCAGCACTTGAGCAAGAGTAGGTGACTCAGAGAACTAACAGAAGCTAGATCATTCAGGGCTTTGAAGGTCATTTGAAGGACTTTTCTTTTAATGTGGATGAGATGGGGAGCCACCATAAGGTTCTGATCAGAAAGTAACATGATCTCATTCATTTTAACAGAACCTGGTTCTAGTTGTTTCAGAGAACACGTGGGAGGAAGGGGCCATGGCAGAGATGGGAAGATAGGAAGACAGATTACAGTGGACCAGATAGCAGAGGTAAAGAGAGTGAGAAATCACCAGATTCTGAACACATTTTGAAAGTGAAACTCATAGTATTTGTTGACAGATGAGATGAGGGATTTGAAAGAAAGTCAAAGACAATTTAGAAGATTTAGAATGAACAATTAGAAAAGTAGATTTTATTTACTGTGATGGGAAACTTGTTAACAGGTGATTTAGGTACTGAACCAAATACTGTCAACCTGGGAAAAGATCAAAATTCAAAAACTGAAGTAATGTTCCTACTGAGGAGTGTCACTTTTGTGCCACTGTCACTGAAAAACCTTAAGTGAAACCAACTGTAATAGCTAAAACAGAACTCCAGTTAGGAGAGAAGATAGGAATAAAGACATGAAAATAGGATACCCTGGTGGTATCAGTGGGTCAGAGGATTAGTTAAGTCAAAGCACTAAACAAGGAGGTGATAGTCAGAGGGTGGGGACAAATCCTTATGCTACCATTTAAAGTGGACTGGTGGAATGCTCACCATAGGCAGAATTTACAAAGCAATCACCATTATTGTCACTTTTCATGTACTCCTCAGTGACATCTGCCTTCTCCACCACCAGCATACCATTTCCTTTCACTAACACTATTGTCTAGAAAACCACCATTGTGGCTTTATTCTCCCACCTTCTTCTAGTCAAAGGACACAGTGAGTTTCCCAAAGGCAGAAACTGTTTTATTTGATCTTAGAATTCTATGCAGTAGCTAGTCTAGTGCAAGACACATAACTGCTACTCAATAATGCAGCTATTAAAAGAAAGAAGTCCCTTTGCCAAAACGTCTAGGTTATGATACTGAGAGAGAACCAGAGACTCTTTCAACTGCAGGAAGTGTCTGTAGGGCTCTCTACACCAGTACATAGCAGTTTTGCCTATATCTTAAGCTTTTGCTATAGTTTTGATTTTCACAAAATGTTGGTATTAGGAAGATTTTCTAAAATGTTTTCAAATTCCAATACCAGTCTCAGCAGTCCTTTCCCCTCATTGGATATACACAGACAACAATCGTAAATGACACCTTCACTTTCATTCTACAATTCATTTTTGAGAACAGAAAACAATGGCAAAGGAGAAAGGAGACTCTGAGCACTCTTACAACATTCAGTTCCTACTTCTCACTCACACTCATGAAGAAAACCAGCTCCTTGCTAAGTAGATGGAGGAAAGGTTTAAAAAAGAAAGTGGCCGGGGGGGGGGGGGGGGGGGGGGGCAGGGAGAAGAAAAGGCTGACATGTTTACAATGTAACACTTGCCTAAGTCCTAAAAGTGTGAAGATACTTACTTGAACATATAAAATGGTTTTTGCTGTTATTTATAGGAAATTTATTAGATCTCCTGAAACAGTTGTTTTCCAAAGAGCTACTGGTCTTGAGAATCACTGTGAAGCTATTTAAAAGTTGTCTGCCCATGGTCCTTCCCCAGAGAGGCTGGTTTCACAGACTAAGGCAAGGCCTAGGTGAGACTGCAGCCTCCCATACTAGAATTCAAGTCATTTCCAGTAACAGCTATCTTTCCTTATTTTCAAGTATGTTTCAGAATCTCACAGACCCTTCTAAAATTATTTCACCATTAATTTAATTCTCTTCTTAGCATGACATAATTAGTGTTAAATTTTAACAATGATTGCACCATATAATATGGCACTCAAAATAACCAAGGTGGTTCATTCAATAAAGGCAATTCATTAGTAACTACAAATAAATGGACTTACCCGTTCCACAGCTGCATTATGAAATGGGAGCTCCTCCTCACTGCAGAGAATAACATGTGAAATAGTTGAAATCAGAGCAGACTTTTAAAAATTATTTAAGTACAAATGATGTACCATATTTTTTGCCACCACAAGAGTTATGTAAGCGTCCATTCCACTGAATTCAAGAGAAAACAACTGCTATTCTGTAACCACAATGTCCTTATCTTCCAATTTCTAGAACTGCTCTGTCCAATACAGTAGCTACGTGTAGCTATTTAAGTGTAAATTAAAATTCAATAAAATTCAGCATTATTCAGTCTCATTAACCATGTAGCTAGAGGCTGCCATACTGAACATTTCCATCACTGCACAAAGTTCTACTGGATGAAGCTGCTCTAGAACCAGGAGTCGGCAAACTTCTTCTGTCAAAGTAAATACTTAAATAGTAAATATATTTGGCTTTGTGGACCATACAATCTTTTTCACAACTATTCAACTCTTGAGACAATAGTGCAAAAGCAGCCATAGATAACATGTTGACTGAGGGTGGCACTGTTCCCACAAAAAATTTTATAAAAACTGGTAGTGAGCTTGATTTGGCACACAAATTGGTCTATCAGCCTTTACTCTAGACTCCAACTAAGGTCTATAATAATTGACTGTTTCAAAAATTAGCATAGTGATGAGGATGTAGCTTAGTGGTAGAGGGCTTGCCTAGCATGCACAAGGACCTGGGTTCAAAGGCCAGTACCACAAAAAAAAAAAAAAAAAAAAAAAACGAATAAAAACTATCATAAAGAAAAAAAGCTTCTAGGGGATTTGTGAATGAAAAAGAAAACTTCTACTTTCATTCTATACAATAAAGAAAGCAATTCACTGTTAAAACTTTAAGAGATGATTTTAAAAAAATACACTCTGTTGTCATGTATTTTAAAAAAAATAATAAGAAGAAGTAGAAAAGGAATTCCATTTACATCTATATGTGTAATTTGAATTGTAATGCATTCTGTTGTCATATATAACAAATTAAAATTTTAAATTATTTTTAAAAAGACAAAGAAAAAAATATGAAACCAATCAAATTAATTTCTTTGGCATAGAACTTGTATAATACTAGAATTCTAATATAAAATAGTCTAAGACCTTTACATTAACTGTCAGTAATATAGAAACAATGTACTATCCGTAAACTAAGTAATGTGCTTTCAGTGGCTTTCAAAGTAGTACTGATGTTTCAGCAACAACATGTACATAGTTTTCCCTTAAACTAAACCGTACCACTTTGAGGAGCATGACGGATCAGTATTAATAAGTTCAGTGATTCCAAAGGCACTCTGGCTACTTTGCAAAGTCCTTAGATGAACCCTTAAGCCACAGCAATGGAACTGACAAGAAAAAATGTAATAGCCAAAAGAGATCTTAAAGAGTACAAATCCCTCACTTCACAGATAAGAAAACCAACATTTTCACTTAGTCATTTAGCCTAACATAGCAATGCTCAGCACTTTCTAATCCAGTGGATGCAAATGGAGTTCTTTAGCTAGCACAAGAACACAGGAAGAAAAGGGATGGAGGATGAGAAAGCAATTCTCAAGAAGAAAAGAAACTTTTTGAGGTTTAAAATTAAAAGCCTTCAAGATGGATGAGACAGCAAGAATGTTAGTTCAGTTTCCCTATGGAGTTTTTTGCATTATTTCTTATCTCTAAAACTCTTCATAAGGAATCTGCTATGTGCACACACACTGCTCTCCACACAACCTTGCACTCCTACCTCTGTGTTGGCAGATGCTAATGTGTACAGTCTTCCAAGGAGCTTCCTTGCCTCATCAAGACCTCTGTGCCATGTCCAGAAGACACCCGGCATGCTGAGGTCAATGTTGGTGAACGATTGTGTGGACAGAGAGATGAATGCGTACCCTATGTGCGTGGATACATCTTTACCTTGCCACACAAATATCCTTCATGCAGAAGAGAGGAAGGACCACATCAGGGTGAATACAAAGTATTTCTTTACATCAGCAAACTACAGCCCATGGGTCAAATCTGTCTTATTGCTAGTTTTGTAAATAAAAGTTTTAATGGAACACTGCTATGCTCATTGATTTGGGCGTTGTCTATGTTTGTTTTCATACTACAGTAATAGATAGAATAGTTGTGACAAAGACCATATGGCCCCCACAGAGCCAAAAACATTTAGTATCTGACTCTTTACAGAAAATGTTTGGCAACCCCTGTTTTAGGGAATAAGGGCTTAAGGACACCTAAAAGTTGTTTTTTAAGTAAAATAACAAGTTGACAAGTAGCTATACCTCATGGAAACACAGTAACTAAAAACAATGACATAGTCATCAAGGGAAAGAGAGAGAATTTAACTGGATATAGTTTTCATCCATTATTAAACTTGAAATGTATTACTAATTAGAGTATGTGTGCCTATGATTTCTCAACAGTTCAGACAGAATACTTCTGTCACTGAGATAAATGTTCATTTGGAAATTTGAAACTTAATTTGTTAAAATCAATAAGCTTAATACATTACCTAAATTTAATTTTTGGTTTTGAAATAAGTTTTACCTAGCTAGTCAGAATGTATAGGATCAGTAGAAAGAGTTCTCAAGCCCTTGTAAGCAAAACAGATAATCTTTAAAAATAAAAACACCTTTATTTTAGTTCTCATGTTTATTCAGTCCTGGTAAACTACAGTCCATCTGCTAAATTTCATAAATATACAAATTTGATAATTAACTGAACATCTGATGCTTGCTATTAATTTATCGTTCCTATTTTTGGTATAATTTCCTTTTAATTCATCTATTAATAACTTATGACCCAAAAGAATTATTTATCATTATCCAAATACCAGACATTCTTTGTTGAGCGGACTAACGGTGCTATTTTTGATTAGCAAGTTTAAAGTTTTCCAACTTCTTCAATAAGCTCGATTTCTCCATCCACCAGCTGTACATCACAGGCACAGACTAGAGATGACACCCTACTGCCGGAAACTAAACAAAAATGTTGTTGTTCCAACATAGAGCCAGGCCGGTTTGGCAGCAGCTTTAATATTTATTGTGAAATCCACTGTAAAACCAAAGTATACTATATTTGTTAATCAATGCTCCTCCTTCACATATCATAACAAGTAATTTATGTTTCCAAAACTATAATTATATTTGAATTCAGCTGCCTTCAGAGAAGACAACAATTTCTACAATTTTTTTGTCATTTTATTGTATTGACGTTAAACTTAAAACCCAATTTCATTGCAGAACCAATCAAAAATTACAAATAACAGAAAGAAAAGCTCTTTCAATCAAGGTGTGACAGGGAGTAATATCTAAATGCTCACATCAAGTGACTTATTCAACAGTGCAAAAAAACTCCAGTCTACAGGGACATGCAACCAAAGCCACCAGCAGCAATCTCTGAAGAACGTGTTTTACTAAAATAAAGCATTGTGACAAAAATCAATGGCTTTGGTGAAATTTAATAAAGCCTAACATTACACTCAAATCCATTTCTATGCTTCATTATTTTCATCTGTGCTACCTGCTTTCAGGCTGCTTCATGGAATAAATTAGGGAAAAAAATTAGTATGACAGTGTGACAATCAGCAACTGGTTCATCTTCTAATAAGTGTTGAACTTGGCTATCTTAGCATCTATCTTGACAGACATGATCATTTCTAACAGTATCCTCATTAGAAATTCTTCCTCTCACCCATCATCCACCCTTTCAATTTTTTTTCTAGGCATTTCATAGAACTTATTCTATATTTCTCTTATTAAAAATACAAGAAGGTTGTAGCAGGTATTATACCACAGTAGTGCATAACACATGCTCTTTGGTGAGACTGCGCAGATCTACTCCCGAAACCTGACATTTACTGTCAGTATGACTTGGGCAAGTTATTTGACCTCTTCCTGTTTCAGTTTCACTATCTAAAACCAGGAAGATTTTAAAAAGCACCTACCTTGAAGACTTTTTGAGAGGAATAAGTAAGTTAATTCATGTAAGGACTTAGAACACACTAAGTATTCATGAATATTAACTAGCATTACTAACCTAAGTTATTGACTTTTTTCTAACTAGAAGCCAAATGAACCTCAGCACAGAGTGAAAAACAAATTTAAATTAATTGTTTCTAAGACCTAATTCATGTTGTTTCCAGCAAAAAGAAGAAAATTTAGTAATTAAGAGACCACTTTGGAATGCACAAATTTTTCTTATAGACTTCACACTATATTAGACCATTTTATGATGAAAACATTATTACAGTGGTTCAGTCCCATCAGAAATACCTAGGAAAGTCAAAAACAATTAAGCTGTATCCTACTTTCTGAATCAAAATCTAGTATAGAACCCCAAATGTTTTTTTTTATTTGTTTAATTTTTCCACCTAATTCTTATTTGCACATAAATCTGAGACCTAGAGACTTTAACAGTCTTAATGCTCAAATTAGGACTTCAAAACTTCATTTACATGCCGGAACTACATACTGACCCATAAAAATGTGTAATCATTCCCTGTAACATTTGTGGTCAAGTTTGATTTTAAAGAGAGGTGAGGTTAAGAACTGTATTAAATACTGCTCTGCTAGTCCAGTGAAATTCAAAGTCTTCTGATTATAATAACTCGGGAAAAAGTTTCAGATTGTAATGTCTAGTATTTTTCCAGAACTTAATAAAGCATTCTTACATTTTATTTCTTCAAAGGCTCAATACTCTTAAGGTATATAAAGCAATTACTGATTCTTGTTTTCAGATAAAATGGTTTATAGTTTACTGACCAGGGACCAGCAAAGCCACAAAAAACACACAGAGATATTCCTAGCTTTTCCCTATGTACGATAAACAAAACTGGAAGAGTAAATTTGAAAGAAAAGTCAGTTAATCCTTAAACTGTATGTAACAAATGTATAGAGATGAACCTATGGGAAGCTGACTCAACAATGCCAGAATCATAACAATCGGATTCACATCATCTTGCGGGATGTTTTTTAAGAATCAAAATTCACTTTCACTGTTTTATTGTAGTGGTCTAGCTTTCTCTTAACTCTTTCTTTATATAATATACTCACGATAAATGGGATTAATTTTGAGAAGCAATATCATGAATACATTTATAGTACGGAAGATGAATGCCGTTTCTTTTCATTGCTCATTTTTAGGCTACATAACCCTAATGTTCTAATTGCCAATTATTTTTAAAATGCATTTATATGAAATTAAATATTTTGTAATTATTCTAGAAATATAACTGTTATCCATGTGTGTTTAATTCTGATAAATTATTAATACAACTCTTTTATTGCATTTAATATTCTTACCAAAACCCCCAAAATATTAAACTCTATTCTTAACTATATAGTTCAATTTAAATCAAAAGGTTAACATTCCAGGAATTTAGTATCAAAAAAGTATATTGTCAGACCATTGCTGGAATCATATTCACAGAAATTCTATTAAAAATAAAAAAAACAGGTGACCATAGAAACATTAAAATATAAAATATTAGCTTTCAATCCATGTGACTTACTGTAAAAAGCCAAATCTATCCGTGACTTTGTAAACAAGGTAATCAGCATCTTCCCAAGGTTCAATATCTGCACCTTCTCGTCCCTAAAACAATGGACAAAGGAATTTATAAAACTGAATAATTTTTTTAGAAAGATCCAAAATCAAGAACATTTTTTTAAACCTAACTCTTTGGAGCAATATGCTAGTCCTAATTATAAGCTATGAAGACACTGTGTGTCATAGCAGCCAACAAGCAGCTGAGCCTGATAAGACTGAGCTCCTGAGGGAAGCTGATGAAGCTGGAGCAGCAAAGAGGCTAAGAAAGCCACCCAAGAGGAACTGCCAAACTTTACAAGTTTTATAGTAAATATGTCTTAGAAAACTCATTTTCTTGTCTTCATCCAAATTTGTCAAAAGAACAGGTTATGTACTTTGTCTCTCTACTGCTTTGCTTCACAACTACATTAGCTTTGAAATGACTCTTGCCACAGTCAAAAATGCTCTTCCAATTGTGAGACCCAGTGGACACTCTTCAGTCCTTACCTAATGAAATGTGGGGCAAATTGGTCAGTGTGACTCGCTCCCTCCCCGCCTCTTCCATGACACTATGCCCTGGAGGTTCTCCACAGGCCTCTCCAACTCCTCCTCTGATGGTTTTTCATGAATGACTTAACTACTGATATGCCCAGAGTTCTGTCCTCAGCCCACTGCCCATTTACTTTTAGGCTGTTAATTAATATTTATTAGTGTAGGAATCCCACATATGACTATCCACAACAATCCCTCAAACTTTAGATTCAAACATGCAACTGTCTTGTGGACACCTCCATCTGAAAATGATTTATAATGTTTGCTCATATTCTTTGAGTAGACTATGAGCATCTTGTGGGCAAGGACTGATGAAACTCATTTCTGTGTTACAACATGGAAGAATCCCCAGTCTTGTGTTAACTATGTGTGTGTGTGGGCGGGGGGGGGGGGTGCAGGGAGCATGAAAGTGTGAATGAATGAGAGTGCTGTTTATGAGTTTCACATTAGCTAAGCAGTTAAAAAGGTTAACTAGGTTTTTCACAGACCACGCTAAAACCTAATCACAATAATGGGAACCTGTGTTCCAAACAACCAACTTAAAAATGAACTCTGAGAGGCTGGGGTGTAGCTGGGTGGCAGAGCACCTTGCCTAGCAATGTGCAGGGACCTGTGTTCCATCTCCAGTACCTCACCCCAACTTCAGATCCCCAAAACCCCACAAATTCTGGAAACTGTTAAGCTGAATACTGCCTATATGCCTCCCTGGAAGTAGGGCATGGTGCAGATGGCTTATTATGCTCACAAATAATAAAAAATAAAAGCTATACAATTACATGCAAGCAATGCAAGTATTAAGTATGACATTTATAAATAATACTACAATTCATAAACCTCATAAGGGTAATAAATAAGAAGTGAAAATCATCAACAATTGTGATTTTCTAGGACATCAAAAATCAGATTCCACTGGACATAACTTTCCTGTGTTCATATGTGAATACACAGCCAGGTAATGCCACACCATGACAACCACATGAATGGTCTCCTAAGTAGAGTAAGTCATGCTCTATGTATGTATAACATGTCAAAATACACTGTACATGTGTATCTAAAAAGAACGAATAAAAAATAAGTAAATAAAAATCAGATTCTATTCTAATGCAAAGACAAAATACTAATGAAAATTACCTATGAATGTATAAATACAAAATCTAAGGTCTACTGTAAATTTACAACAGCACACATAAATTATGAATACAATGGGTAATTAACCCTATTTACTCAAGTACTCAAGTACTTACTGACTACCAAGAATGAGTCGGGAACTTTTCTGGGTATTTAGAGTACAAGAGCAAATCAAACAACAATCACAAAAATCTTCCCCTGAGAATTTACATTCTAGGAGAGAGAACAAAAAACAAAGTAAAATATATAGAATGGTGATGTAATAAGTATTATGGTGAAAAATAAAGGGGATACAGTGTACCAAGGGATAGAAAGGGGAGGGAATAAAAAGGGAGGTAAGAAAAGAACTCAATAAGAAGATACTGAGTAAAGACCCGAAAGAAAGGAGGCAAAGAGGCTTAAGAATACCGAGGATATAAGTATTCCAGGCAGGGGAAATAACCAGTGCAAAGGCCCTGAGGCAGGACCAAGCTTTGTGTTTAAGGACATCGAGAGAATAGAGTGGCAAAAAGGAGGGAGAGAAAATTTGGAGATGAATTCAGAGGAAAAAAAAGATAAGCTCCAGGTTCTCATGAAGTAAACAAAATGCCTCTGTAATTTAAGCTTTCCAAAAGCAAATCCCTTTCTATTTATGTGATTTTTCTAATAAAACTTACTCATAGAGTAAATATGGATACTTACTCGGTCATATTTAGCAACTATTTCAGCTCGTTCCTGGGCAAGTTTCAGTGCTACATCCTGCTCCGAATCTGCAGAGATCGAATTTAAATGAAGTGTTATTTTAAGGATCACAAAATTAGTTAATTATGAAACAAAATCAAACAAAAACTAAAACTGCCTTAAATGAAGTATCAAATAAACTTATAAAAATTAAGTACTTATAATACAACTTTAGAATATCAACATATCTACCTTTTCAATATTATGAATGATATTCAAAAGAAAGAAAATTTATTAACAGCATAAACATCAGGACAAATAAATCTAAGCCTTCAAGAATTGGTTTTAGATCTAAAATTTCATGGAAGTAAAACTGAAATAGAAAGTTTTGTCTTCAGATGAAATCCACTAGGGCAGAAACTGAGACGATTCAAAAAAGGTGTTAAAAAGTGGCAGAATAGGAGAAGACTATTCCAAAAGGCCTTTTAAAAGTAAGGTGATTTCTCCACAAAATAAACTAGTGTAAGATATATTTCAGGAGTTACTAAAAACTTTATATCACATGATGACGATAATCACATCTTTATTTAGCTTTTCAGGCCCCTAGATTAGTTAGTTGCCTCAACTACAGTAACAACCTCCTAGCTGATCACCAGGCCTCAGCTCACAACATGCACGTATACACATGCACACCCTCAGCCTTCTTCCTTATTAACACTGGGTGTTTTTCAAAGGCACAAATCTGACAACAAAAGCAGAGATCATAGCGTGAAAAAGTATGGATATGATTATGTATCCCAAGTATCATAAATGAAAATAAAAGATCACAGACAGATTGTATAAATGGCATTTCCAATTAAGCAGCAAAGACAGCATTACAAAAGAAAACTGGGTGAAGGTCAAGAGCTAAAAATTCACAAGAGTAATTTTCAGCAGCAACAACTATGTCTGTGTTCTCACCAAGTGTCTGCTAGAAAGACACTGCCAGGCAGAAGACACTGCACTGAGTACTTTACCATGCCGATCACACGTAATTCTCAGAATACACTAAGGCAGGTATCACTAGTAATCCCACACCAAGGTTAAATGAGGTTTGAAGATGTCAAGCAACTTTTCAAGGTCACAAAGGTAGGAAAAAGTAAAGCTAGGGTTCAAATCTAGACAGTCTTGACTCCATAGCCCACAACTTCAACCACTACTTTATAAAAATGATAACTAAAAACACTAAAAGGATTTCCAGTTAAATATGGCAGATGGAACACACCTTTATATCCATTTCTCCTAAAAGCCTATTAAAATAACAACCACACTAAAATGAAACTCCCTCCCTCAAAGCACCAGAAAACTTAGATCCTAAAGAGAGGAAAGGGTGGGGTTAAAAACAAGGGAGTTGAGTAAAGGGAATCAAGTCCCTGAGAGTTGAAGGGATGGATATGTGTGGCCAGAGGAAGGTGCTGGGTAGAGGACCAAACCCTTATTCTCCAAAGCAGGAAGCCAATAGATAATACCAAAACTGAAGAGCAGGAAGTGGCAGGTCAGCGTGTTACCTAGAGCATGAAAGGAAACAGCATGATGAGCCACAGTGGTGGAGAGTGGTTACTCCTATGCAGTGGGCATTGAGGAGTATGGGAGTCAGCTGTTTCCAAAAAAAAAAAAAAAAAAAGTCTTAAAAAAGACTGACAGATCTCTAAGCTAAGTAAAGCTCTGATAAAAATAAAATCTAAATTTAAAATAACAAGATATGGGAAAAATACACCTCATTAGTAACTGAAGAAGTATGTTTTAAAATATCACATTGCCTCTATCTCAGACTAACCAAACACTGCACTGATATTACTCAATGCTGACCAAGAGTGTGGGAGAATGTGCAGTTTCTTCATGAAACCTTTTTGGAAGGTAATTCAATAATAAGTCTCAGAAATCTTACAAGCAATCATATCCTTTACCCAATATTTCACCTCTAGGAATTCATGCCAACGAGATAATCAAATAAACACAAGGATGTTTATAATAGTAAAAATGGCAAAAATGAGAACTGGTAATTTTTTAAAGTTTTTTTGGGTGGTATGTTTATGTTACTACTTATGTTACTACTAAAGACTGGTTAAATTTTTACAATGGACTAATGCAAACAAAAGTTGGAAATAATCAACATAACTAATAAATAAATCTAAGCCTTCAAAGGTGGGGAAAACAAATGAATAAAAATTTAATTCAAACTAGGGAATGTGACTATTTATTAAACTCTGTGTCAACTATCAGAGCCACTAAATATGGATTTCTTTGGTGATAAGGCTAAATTCAATAGATGAATGTTTTATTGGAATGTGTTTTATGCCAGTCCTTTATTCCTGCTTCTATTCCTACGAGTCTCAACTACACTTCCAACACAACAATGAGAAGTTTACAAGTATAAAAGCAGGAACTGGAAATGGTATGGAGTTGGGGGAAATGCCAAGTGTCCCAAAAAGACTTTATTATGGCAAATTGCAAAATACAAGTATTCACAGGATTATCACCAGGCTAGAGAGTTCCAGAAAAGAAAACCTAATCATGTAATAGAGACCATACTGGAATTGGATGAAACTGCATCCTGACTTTCTGAGTGAAAGATCATATACTTTAACAGGTCCAGAACAGTTGACTGTAGTCAGGTAAGTAAGTTCCAAATTTTTAAATCTCCTTAGAAATTTTTTTATCCTTACATTTACCAGTGGGAAGACATTTTTGTAATATTAATGAATGTGTGCTACAAAGAGAGTGGATTTAAAACAAAACCAAATTTTTAAAAATACAGCCAAATCTGCTTCTTTTTAGGAAACTAAACAGAATGTCAATCCTTCCCAATAGTGAAGCTAGAGACATTGTTTAATAATCTACACTGGGAGGCAGAATAAGAAGTAGTGTCCTTATGCAGGGTTAACCATAGTTCAATAATGTTGTGATGGTCAGGTCTGTAGCTGAAAAGTTTATTAAGAATTGTACTAGAATATTCCCTTTGGTTTCATTCTGATTGCTTATTTAGAAATTCTATTAAACAATACAGAGAACTTAAACCAAAACATTGGCCACAGAGACACCAATGGCTATCTTGTGTCTCTGTGCAAGTATGCACAAAGTTCCAGGCACCTACTAAACAATGACAGCTGTGTTCGTTGGTACTTACATCACACGCCATTATCAAATAAAAATTTAATCAGGGCATTATGCCATTAACTTACATCATATCTTATATTCCTCCTGCATGATAAATTCATAATTAACAAGTTTATTTTGAAAAATTTGCTTTGAAATTAAATAGTTTTTGTTACCAAAACATTATAGTAATCAAAATTTTGTGCAATATGGTTGTTAGACTAAATATAGTTTAAAAAACAGTTTCTATCATTAAAAGTACTTTTTTTTTTGAGAGAGAGAATTTTTTAATATTTATTTTTTAGTTTTCGGTGGACACAACATTTTATGTGGTGCTGAGGATCGAACCCAGCGCCCCCGCACTACCACTTGAGCCACATCCCCAGCCCCCACTCTCTTACTCTTAAATATTACTCTCTTACTTCACCAAGTTGTTGGTTTAACACTCCTGTTATACAGGAAAATATCTCTGGGCACAAATTGATAGAAGAAAATCACAACTATACTATCTTAAGAAGCATTTTAAAAACTGACAACTGTTGAGATTTTTGAGACCTCTATTTCCATTGAAAACCCCTACCAAAAAAAGCCTTTTAAGAATCAAGTATCTCCCTGAATTACATTCTTTAAAAATAGGTGTTATATCTAAATTCCTGTTTAATGTCACTAAATTAATTCCAAATTCATACAAAGTTACTAAATTTAAAAAGTTTCAAATTCAATCCAACAAAACAAAATTGGTGGCAGACAGTTTTCTTAGTGTACACTGTGACAAATGAGTGTTTTATATATATGAAACATAATCAGTTTTAAAAATACTTTACCCTTTGTTGGATAATCAGTCTGTCCTTGGGAATTGACAGCTGCTTCAGTCCTCATAGAGTAACTTATCTATTCTAAGCTTTCATTATTATGTTACAGTTCTCAAACACACCAAGGGTGCTAGGTGGTACCTTACACATGCTGCAACTAACTAAAACAAAAAATGAGAGGAAGGATCTCACTTTAAACTACGTGCAAAACATGCAGAACAAAGTTTAAGATGCAGTCTGTCTTGTTCCAAGAGTGAAAAAAGACCTCACTGTGGTTACATGTACTGTAGATATCTGAACAAAGATGATATTTGTTGAGGGTGAAAACATTTCTTTCAGGCTAGATCTCAACTACAAGCCACACCAGCCTACACCCAGCATTCCATCTAATAAGCAATGGGTTTTAAACAAGTGGCTTCATAATTTGTTCCAATCTTGTGCTTCAAAATTAGCCATATTCTTAGTACTTTTAATAAAACCACAGACGCAACAAAGAAAACTTTTATTTCAAACAGTAAACTCAAGTTAAATAGAATTGCTTTTCTCCTTAAGTACATTTTATAACTTAGATATATTTCATATCTTAACATAATTTTAAAAAATATTTTAGTTGTAGATGAACACAATATCTTTATTTTATTTATTTATTTTTATGTGGTGCTGAGGATCAAACCCAGTGCCTGACATGTGCAAGGCAAATGCTCTACCACTGAGCTACAACTCCAGCCCTCTTAACATAATTTTTATTGTGAAAATTTCAGCTGGATTCAGATAGTAAACAAATACATACTACAATAGGGGTCTGGACATTTTTAATATACCACACACCTACAGGTGAAAGGAAAGGTTCGTGAAAAAGTGTAAGTTCTACAGGATGACAATATGAACTTTTCTATTTTATTTATTCCTTTCTTCTTCTCATTGTTGCTTCCCTTAAATGAAAAGGGATCTATAATTTGTAAACCACTTTTCAAAAGTTAACAGCCCTGTCAAATGCATGCCTTCAAACATTAATCACACTTAACAGGACGCTAATGAATTAAGTTAATGCTCAGCTGAAACCAGTTGTAACATTCAGCAAAAGCAAAAGATCACAGAAGCATACAGAAAGGAAAAATGTCAAGTCTTACATGAAGGAATGA